TTGTAATAAATGTTCGTGTACTACATATAATATATTCATTTGCAATAGACTATTGGTGACAATCATCACAGTTTCTTTTATAATGTAGAAAGAGCATTTTCGTTATTTAGTTTTATGTTATCACATGGTGCAAAATAGCAAGTATACATATATGTACCCATATTATCAGAATAACAGAGCTGTACTCATGTCGATCAGAATGACATACCAAAACAAAATCTTGATATCATCATTATCATCCTACCCAATGAACTGCAATCTTACCCATCTCTCCTGTCCAAAATATGTATTAACACAAATAAATTGAACCACTGAAAAACAAATCTTCAGGAAAATCCTCCACTACAGACAAAAGTCTGCAGTCTCAAAGATTCGTTTTGTATAAAGTATATAATAAAATCTGTCGATAAAGTATATAATATACTCCATCGACAGAATTTCAAAACTTCCTCTCCCTTCATCACTTCGACAAATGACGTTCATCGGGAAAATAAGATGGTTTAAGAACGATCACACAAGTGAAGAAGTTCTGAAACTCGAGCGTCTCGACAGTTCGTCTCGCGACATATTCAATCAGGATATCGAGTCTGTCGAGTTTTCGCGTACCCGAACAAGCATCTGCTTTTGGACGGGGTGGGAAGTTCAAAGCGGGCACAAGGACCGGCACAGGCTGCGAAGGACACGTATCTTACGCGAGATCGGCGAAAATCCTGCGATAAGGGGTTGCGGGAACGTTGGACCGGCTGGGAACAGGGTTGCACCGGCAGAGATTTGATTTATATGTTAATCGCCAGTCGGCAAGTGCGCAGTCTGCCGTGGTACTCTTTCGTCCCGTCGTAACAATCCTCGAAATATGCCGTATAAGTAGACACGGTGCCGTCTGGACTGCATATTGGAAGATGTTACAGGGCTTGTCATAATTTAATATAGTCATTTTTGTTCTTTACGTTTCTATCAATTATTTGGATATTTGTCTTCACTAAACCGCTGTTGACTTAAACCTTTGTGGAGGTAACTTGAGATCACAGAAATTTAAATGTGAACGATTATATGAAAAATGATGATTTTATATTTAATGATGTTTTATGATTTATACGATGTTTAGGGTGGGGTTTGATTTTGATAAACTTGATACGTTCGTGTTTGCAGTTAAGTATCGGTTAATATCAAACTGCTTCGATGACACGTCAGTGGGCGTTGTACAGGTTCAATGTCGTAATAACGTATCACTCGTGACAACATTATATACTAATCAATGTGTTCGACGTATACATATATATATGTCAATACAGAACCTTACTTCATGAAAATTTTTCTTCAGACATTTTATTAATTTTTGCATTACATTTACATTACATTTGTATTACAGTTGAGAAACAAGTTAAGAAACAATCACTAATGTACAACAGTAATGTATACTAATGTATAACACATTTAACAACATCTGTATTTTATGTATACTTCGTATATTTAGCATCCCTCGAACTTAACCTAAATTCCTATAAATTCTTCTGAACTACACGTGGTAAAACTGGTCACTTAGTTTCACCACAAGCAAAATTTGAACAAGAATTTCCATTAGAAAAGAATGCGAGTTATGAGGAAGCGAAAAACCTGTACGAGAAAGTGGTTCGGAAACTAATTAACGACGCATCTGCTACGTAAATGGAATTTCAGTCGCGAAAACTATAAGACTCTTCGATCCATCTTCAACGATTCTTTGGATCAAAAGTTTTGCAGCGTGGAAATTCATCGAGCAAGAAGACAATCTTCGTTGACTAATTTCGATCGGTTGTCGATATGGATAAAAAGTCGATCAGTGACTCATAATTGTTTAATTTGCAAAAAACAACCAGACATATTTGTTGTTGACCTAAATCTTCTTTTCTTAACATCGACCCATTTCTTCTATGTGCGATACAATCAATCACGCGAGCAATAGATTAAGAGATAATGTGAAAAATCCTGATAGTGGGGTGTCGATAGATAAAAGAAAAAAGAAGGAAATGATACGTCACCTTAATCGGTAGCTTGCAACATATGTTCAACACGAGATATAAACAGGATTTATCACGGTTTGATGTAATTAGAAGTCTTGTCTCGAGTGGGAAGCTCCTAATTTTACTAAAAATGTCGAGTAGTTGTTTAGTACTATTATTGAACATCTCATATGATATATTTATTGCTTTTATGTGGTACTCTCATTATATTGCCTTTATATGATAGTCTCATTATATTGCCAACGACAGAGTTATACATATTTCAAATTCCTGACATTAATATTGCTTTTAATTTTAAATTTTCAAACCAACATTTTAAACTTGGAAGTTCACAATATTTAATGCAAAAGCTTCCAAACTTAAAAAATTAAAGAATCTCAAAACTCGAGCCAATATAAAAAGAATTGTTCAGAAATATTCAAAAGTTCATACTCGTGAAAGGAAATTTTTTATAACCTTAAAAAACAAAAAATGTGTTCGCTGAAAACACAAAGCGTATACAGAGCGTAGTAATTAAAAAGATAAAAGATGAAATGGTGACACGTACACAAAGGCTTGTTCGTTCGATTTCAAAAATCCGCGAAGTTGAAAAAACGTGAAAAACATTGCAGTAATTCGTATGACGAAATATATGTCGAATTTGATATGAAAACAAGAACGAATGATTAATAAAAAAGCGTGAGTAAGTTCGATCGTTCGCAATCCCAACGGCAGTTTAATGACAAAGCGCACAAAGCCCGGGAGACAGATTACACAATTGGCTTTTGGAATTGTCGTTAACTAATGTCTATTGCTAGTATTTCGCTTTATCCCATCCAATCGTAGCATTGCACCAGAGTGGACGCTGCAGGATATTTAATCGCAGGACAATCGGCAGCGATCCATATATTTGCCGGCAAAATGTGTAAATCAACATGTGCAATTAGCCATCAAATTCTAACCGCCGATCGCAAACGGGGAAATCGCTCCCTGGTCGCTAATAACGGACAGCGGCTGAAATGTGAATAATAATTTTGTTAAACGTCGTTCATGTTCCATAAAATTTCGCTTGGGAAATTTGCATCAAATAAAACAGTTCAAGCTCGATTTACAGATGTGGAGAATATTTAGTCTTTCGCGATTCTACGAGGTATTTGCGACTTTAAAAAATTTGACATTTTTTAATTTGGAAATTGAGAAATCGGTAATTTTATGTACTTTTAAAATTTTTAGTTGATGGAATTTTAAGTAAATTCATGAAGTTGCATGGTGTAAGAAGGAAGATTGGGATTGGCACATTGGGAATTTGGGAAATTAGGAAATGGGAAAATCCGGAAATTGGGAAATGGGGATCTTGGGAAATCGAGATATTCAGAAATCGGCAAATTAGGAAATTGGGAAATAGAGAAATCGACAAATTAGGAAATTGGAAAATAGAGAAATCGGGAAATTAAGAAATGGGGATATTGGGAAGTTGGGAAATTGGGAAATTGGGAAATTGGGGAATTGAGAAATTGAGAAATTGAGTAATTGGGAAATTGGGAAATTGGGAAATTGGGAAACTGGAAAACTGGGAAACTGGGAAACTGGGAAATTAGGAAATTGGGATACTGGGCAACTGGGAAATTTGGAAATTGGAAAATTGGGAAATTAGGAAACTAGGAAATTAGGAAATTAGGAAATTGGGAAATTGAGAAATTGAGAAATTGAGAAATTGGGAAATTGGGAAATTGGGAAATTGAGAAATTGGGAAATTGGGAAACTGGGAAAATGGGAAACTGGGAAACTGGGAAATTAGGAAATTGAGAAATTGGAAATTTGAGGAATTATGAAATTGCAAAATTACGAAACTTGGAAATTCCCCACAACTTTCCTATACTCCGTATATTTGATTGATTGATTACTGTTGTGGGCGTCGACTACTATGGTCATTAGCCCGCCGTATATGTATATGAGAAAATACAAATTGAAAGTATCATTCGATTTCTTGATACCGCTGTAAGGGAAGCTTAAGGTTACCATGAGAGTTTCAGCAATCTGTTGCAGAAGCTCGTTACCAGATCGAGGTCCATTGTAAACGGGAAACGGTCCGAGAACGAGTAAGGTCATTGAAAGTCCCTTATCGAGCAAAATGCACGCTCATTCAAAATCTTATCGCGCCTCTTGCGTACTACGACGTGATTTCTATCTCGCTATATTGTTGAAATCGTGTCTGCGAAAAAGCGTAGCTTTCCTTTTTCTATGAAAACCCCCTACCCTTTTATGTAACCATTTCTTTAGGTTTAGAATAAAAATTTCCAGCGGTATCATCGAAAAAATAATACACATTCTTTTATAAATATATTCTAGAGTGTTACATACTGAAATTGACATTTATCTATTTTTCTTTTAGCTTAGTCAATTCATTAAGTAACTTGTTATACATATCTTCTCGTATATTTTGTTTAACTAATTTTTTTTATTTGACTCACTTTGTTCATCTAAACTCATTTTGCTTCTTTATATATCTTCTTTTATTGACAAATAATAATTAACCTAAAAATACTTTTGCTGCTGTCAGATATTCTTAAAACTTTTTTAAAAAATTAAAAAATTTGGTAAAATCATTTAAAATGATATGTATTATTAATTGCTATTGCCTGCTGCACGTAACAGACAATATGTTTACACACCTTGTTTAACTTAATCTATGTATAGATTAAATTAAAAAATATTTCAAATTGTATTAAAACGAATGTTCAGTGAGTTACCCTGTAACTACACGGGGTTAAACTGCATTAAAGTTAAATTTTCGCAAATTCCCCAGTTGTAAGAGTTTCTAATTAGTTCTTTCGCGGGATTTTCGAGCAAATAAAATATAAAAATTTGTTCCTATGAAAAAAGCTTATTCCAAGCTCACCACGCGTTGTGACGTCCCATTACGAATACTTGCTATCAGATAAGGAATTTTCTGCTGAATCAGAAGAGCAAGTTTCCCGTATAAAAGCGGCGAACGGTGCACAATCTTGATATTGCGCTAAGATGTTGCGATTCGTTGTACTGAGTATTCTTATTGCCGGATGCTTCGGTAAGTGCTAACAAGGCTTCCTTTAATTTTCTTTCGTTCAAAAAATACCCAATAAATAATTTGATTTCATCGTGCAATGCTCTTAGCTTTATTAAACTCGAGATTGGATTTTGCAAAATCTACACGTTCGAAATTAACGTTGCAGGCTCCGAAGGTGAGCAGAAGGTCAACCCTCCATTTCCGGATTCCCGTATCGTCGGAGGAGTCCTCGCTGACATAACTCAGCATCCCTATCAACTGAGTCTGCAAACTACCGGACACATTTGTGGTGCCTCGGTCATCAGCGCCCAATGGGCCATCACTGCAGCTCATTGCGTCGGGTAATAACGCAAATAAGTTAACAATATTACAATCTTGGTAAACAGTCCCGAACATTGCTTGTTCCGTGCGTTTACGTTAGGCTCCACTTTCACGAAATATATACTAGACATTGCACCATAAATTAATAAGGCTAATACCATTTGCTGCACTCTAAGGCACTTTTACTGTTGACAGATGACAACATTGGTAAATGAGCTTTTAGTTTGATGAACTGCTTATTAATTCTCTTTTTTTTCTATACACCTGACACTCTAGATTTTGCTAAAAATTACCTACGTCAAAATTACCTATTTTAAATCGTGAAATCGAATGATGTGAGTCTAGCAAGTTAATAAAAATTTGAATCTCGCCCCTTGTCCATTGTCAACACTTTCGCTATTTGATTTCGAACAATTAGCGCGAGATACGATATCATGACACCGCCGTCACTGGATGATCCCTGGCATTTTCTCGCCTGGCAGCATTCACTGGCTGATCACGGTAATAACTGCGAAAGCTATCGCGATATTAAATCGGCTTTGCAGCTCGAATTCCCTCGCGATTACCGAGTACCCATTATACAATAACAATAAGGCCATCAAATACCGTGCTCATATTTTGGAAAACAAATAACCGCCAGCTTAACCGAGGCGGAACAACCGACATTTAGCACTGATATACGTTGGTATTTTCATATGTTTTAATTACAGATTACCTGCAAATCGATACACACTGCGAGCTGGTAGCAGCAACAAAGATTGGGGTACTCCTTATGGCGTTAAGGAGATCGTGGTACATTCTAACTATAGCTCAACTACTACCGACTATGACGTCGCTCTTCTGAAGGTAAGTTATACTTCGATTGATCGTTTCATTTTCTTAAGAATTAATTTTTGTAAAAATTAAAATACGAATTTAAGTTCGTGGAACCGATGGAAGAATTATACTTGTGTTCCAGATCAATGGTACATTCAAATTCTCCAGAGTAATACAGCCTGTGTCCATGGCGGGAGTGGCTCCTAAAGCTGGTGTTTTGGTGAATGTGACCGGCTGGGGTGCGGTCAGGGTAATTAATACATTATTTTAATTATACAAACTTCTTACAAATTCGACACAAGCTACTACAAGTTAGCTATACCTCACTACTCCAATTACTGAAATCCAACTATTTTTAAAATATGTTCAGTAGCCTCAAACGAAAAACCTCTTGAAATTTTTATATACCTAATTTTGCATGATTTGATGTCATCGAATTTCCCTAGAAATCTTATGAATTCAAAAACTAGAGACAATCCATACGAAGACCATTCATATCTCCATTTCCAATAATCAGGCGAAGACAACACTCAAGACTGAAAGATGTTATCAATGTTTTCAGAAATTATCTTCACCTTTTCGAAATGAACGATTGCGAATTATTCGTCATACCAAAATCACCTGTCCATTTAGTAGTCTTGTAAATTAATTTCTGAATGAATATGCATTGCAGGAAGGTGGACAAACATCGTCTAGACTCATGAGAATAACGGTCCCCATAGTAAATACAACAACGTGCGAGAAGGCTTACAGGTTCTTGAACCCCATAACTCCCCGTATGCTGTGCGCTGGCTACACTGAAGGTGGAAAGGATTCGTGTCAAGGTGACTCTGGAGGTCCTTTAGCAGCCAATGGAGTCCTTTACGGTATCGTGTCCTGGGGCTACGGATGCGCCAAACCACAGTACCCAGGTGTTTACACGAACGTGGCTAATGTACGATTTTGGATCAAGAGAGTGACCGGACTGTAACGAACTGATGTCGACAATGTCGTTGTGGAAAGATTATCGAAGTGTAACGCACGATAGTGTGTATCAGAGTACAAATAAAGGCAGTGATATTATGTGAAATTTTGTAGAATTTTATGTTATGATTTGATGCGATTTGGATGTTTGTGAACTTCTGGGTTTGGATATTTTGAAATGTGTAGTTTATGAGATTGAAAATTTTTGGGATTTATGGATGTGGACAGTTGGGAATATAGAAATTTAGGAATTTGGCTACTTGGGAATATGGGAACTTAACCATTTGGGGATTTATGGATGTGGACACTTGGAAATATAGGGATTTAGAGATTTAGGCACTTGGGAATATGGGGATGTAGAAATTTGGGGATTTATGGATCTGGACTCTTCCAAATGTGGATTTGAGGACTTAGGCACTTGGAAATATGGGGATTTAGATATTTGAAAAGTTATGAACATAAACACTTGGAAACATGACTTGAGGATTTAGGCACTTCAAAATTTAGGAACTTGAAAATTTGAACACTTAGAAACATGATTCCAAACATAAACATTTACAAATTTAATAATTAAGAATGTTTAAAAGCTGAGTATTTAGAAATTCAAAATGTTATTAGATCTAAAAGTTTAACAAATTTAAAGTCCTAAAAATTAACTTTAATGTAGAAACATAAGGATTTGAAGATTTAGAAAAGTGATCGCATAAAACTTAATTAAAGTAGATGAAGACCACATCTGAGCGCATCAGTTTATTTCCCAATTATGAAGAAACAGTTTTGCGTTCATAGAGAACGAATTCAGTGGCGTCTTTCGAGGACAGGTTGACGGATGAAATAGTTTGTTTAACCGCGAAATGCTTTTTACGTCTGGCCACCTTTGATCCCGAGAGCACCGCAAACTTTCTCCGATAGTTTATCCAGTTGGACAGTTCGATCAAGATCGCAGTTACGGTGAAACACTGGCTTTGAAACACTTTGAAGTACTCTTCTGCTTTGATTTTTTGATTCCGATGAAATATTACCTCCTATCGATGCGCATATTCGATCATTCTATATCTTTAGCCGTCATATCTAATCTGTAGAAATAATGATTCTCTTGAAACACTGTTTCCGAATAAAAATAAACAATAGCGATGGTTACATATCGATCACCCCGAAAGACACACGGAATACACACACGACGCGTACAAGAAATACGTTTTATCAAGCACAATCGATCGATTAATTTCGAATTGTTTCAAATTGAATACGCGACGAATCTTGACACGATTCTTCCATTATCTCCGACTCGATACGTTATCGATAATCACAATCTCTCACTAGTGAAACTTTTTAGATCGCACACAATTTCTTTGCTGTTACACACTCGAAATTCTATGAATATCTCTTTGAAGTTCGTGCGATCTTACGATAACGTCTCTTCCCAAAATAGTCCCTTTTTTACCGAATTCAGTTTCAGTCTTTCTGTCAGACAGTTCTGTCACTTTTGTTAGACGGTGATTAACAAAATGTCTGATTACAAGAAAATTATTTTACTGACTTTACTGTATGTCTTCAGCAATGGTAAGATCATTTATGTTCACTGTTATATATCAAGTTTTAAATAAATTTTTTTATTTTAAATAAATCTGTCTGTTTCCTTAAATGATTTATATAAAGTCTGTCTTAAATAAGTTATATAAATTGGACCTTGTGTTTCAAACTAAAAAATGTATAAATCTCTACAGTTGCAGCACTTGAAAATACAGAGTACGTGAACATCAGAGATTATCCGTATCATGTAAGTTATTACATAACAATATTATCTAACATTTTTGTCGTTCTACAATATAAGAATAAAATCTATCAAAACATACAAAAATGAATTCAATTTAATACAGTATCTAACATTTTTGTTGTTCTACATTATAAAAATAAAATCTATCAAAACATACAAAAAGTAATTAAACTTAATGAAGTATTTTAATTTTACCCAGCTGTAAAAAATAAAAAAATCCTTGAAAATTAACACATGTAGCAAAAAACGATTTTCTTCGATCGAATCGCGATAGTGAACATGAAAACAAAATGTGAAGACCAAACAAGAACGTAGAAAAATAAAATTCGCGGTGTACCACACGAGCAAATGACAGGTATTTGTTGAACACAGGTGTCCATCGAGAAACACGGGAATCATGCGTGCAGCGGTGCATTGGTGCACGAATCGTGGATCGTAACCGTAGCGTCCTGCGTTTTTCGGTGAGTATCTTCCGCGGAATTCGCGTTGTTGCATTCAGCAAATTGCATCAACGCGAACAAGAGAACAAACAACGAAACGTAATTGCTTACAGCGTCGAGCCGTCCACGGTGACCGTTAGAGTGCGCGCGTCCAACCTTTACAACGACGGAGATACACTGAAAGTGACCAACATTGTTGTACACGAGAATTTTGACAAATATGTGCTCTTCAATAACATCGCGTTGATAAAGGTAACCATTTTGTAATTTCAAACGCTTTTACGCGATGGTAAAATGTTAAATGTACCTTCGTGTTTCCTGCGATTTTTAAAAGAATGCGAAGAGTCACTTTTTCTCATTTTTGAAAGGTATTTTGTTAAGTTAGGAAAGTATTAAATTTTTTAATTTGGGAGGTGTTTTTTTAAGGTAGGAAAATGCATATTAAATTTTTATATTTAGGTATTTTTTCAAGTTTATGTATTTTCTCAGTTTCCTAGTTTTCTTTGCTGCAATTTTTATGAGAATGTGAAGTGTCACTTTTTCACATTTTTCAAAGGTATTTTGTTAAATTAGGAAAGTATTCAATTTTTTAATTTATGAGGTATTGTTTCAAGTTAAGAAAGTGTATGTTGAATTTTTATATTGAAGTATTTTTTCAAGTTGTTATTTTCCCATTTGTGTAATTTTTATTATTTCAAATTTTTTAAGTTGATTGTAAATGATTGAATCTCCGTTCACGCACGACCGTGAGAAGCGGTATTAATTTTCGAAATAATTGTTATAATCGAACGAATGAATTTGATATATGAGATATTTTAATGAACTCCCTTGTCCGCGAGTTATCAGCGAGAAAAAAACAGAACCGGATCACTCCAATTTAATGAAATTTGTCGGAACGTAGCTGAAAATTCCTGTGCAATTCGGAGAGAAATTGCTGCCGATAGGAGTGGCGGAAAACGAGGACTACGAACCCGATGATGGAACGATGTGTTTCGTGACAGGTTGGAGGCAGACGGTGGTAAGTGCCGTTTGTGATATTATTAATAAAATAAAACCGCTGTCGTTTTATCGGGGACGAAACAGAAAGCGCGAACATCGTTCGACAATTATCCGAATACATTTTATAATTCATCACGTGCGATTTCACACGGCCGTGTTCTTATTCGATGTACGGAGAAATGAATTGAAACGAGTCATAATCGAAACGATTACTTCGAATAGAACGTTTTATACTCGACAATAATTATCTTTCTGTATCATCGATTAAAACGTTTGTTAAATTTCTAAATAATATTTTCTGATTCAATTTCGCTACAAATTTAGATATTCGATATCGTTTTATTCGGGCCAATTTTCGATTGCCAAAAAAAGGAACACGTGTGCAGGGTGTAATAAGGATTTCAATTTGCACCGGGGCGAAATTGTGCAAACGATCTTTGATATTCCGGGAACGAAGTAACTAGCAATATCATGGCAGAAAAAAGTTTAACATATTATCTGAAAAGGGGACAGAACTTTTGTACGTGTGTGTTTGGTTTGAATTAAATTTGTATTTTTCTTACGGAAGCAGTTCAGTAGTAGTCAATTTTAGATTTGATTGCTGGAAATTCAGTTTGGGGGTAATCAAGGATATTCTCTGTTTTGTAGTATTTCGATCAAAATTATTCTTCTATTGTCATGTGTGAACTTCATAATATTAAGCCTTTGATAACATGAAACACTGATTATTATTGAATCAGCACACATTGTGAAGTCATGTGTTATAGAACCACATATTATGTAAGCACTTCTCAAATCCTCGTACAATACAATCAGATATACATGTACATGCATGGACACACATGTGCATGCATGGACACACATGTGCAAGTGTCTACATACATGTGCACACATGAACTCACATGTATATACATGGACACACATGTACATACGTGGACACATATGTACATACATGGACACACATGTACGCACATGTACATACATGGACACATATGTTCATACATGGACACACATGGACATACATGTGCACATATATACACACATGTATCACATATGCACACACGTACATATAAACGTACATATTTCATTAAACTGATCGAGTTACCAAATTACTTGAAATGAACAAAATAAACAAAATTGCAATATTTTCAGCCTAATGCAACAGAATCTCGACTCTCAGTGACAACAGTGCCATTAATGAATCGTAGTATCTGCAGTTCGAAGATGCCCCCATACCAACCGGTGCTTCAGATGATGCTCTGCGCCGGTAACGCAACCTCAGGGGTGGAAACGTGTCAGGTAAGGTATGAAACGAGGTCCATGGAGGGGGAGAATGGAGAAGGGTGTGCATTCGCGAGCCACGACAACCCTCCGAACACTTAAGATCCGAAGCTTCTGCTAAGGAGATCCCTCGAGTTCGCGCGTGACGCCACTCGACGCTGGCGTCGCTCTTCTGCACTGCTTACGACGCTTCCACGCTCGTACGCGTTACCAGACCGTTTTACTGTCAGCTACAACTGTTTTAGGAACAATACTAACCCCGACTACCAAAAACTCGACGCCTACGCGTGCTCGTGGCAGAAATCAGAAGTTTTGACAACTACGTAATCAAGAATCACTTTGTTCGATTGTTGGACGGTCGAGTTTGATGGACGAGGTTAATTACAAAAATCCATTCTTTGGAACTATTTCGGGTGGAACTGATATAGAATATTGGAAATATTCGACCATTTTATACGGTTCTTTGTTGTGGACAGAAATGATCACATCATTTATGTGATCTTTTTTGTGGACAGAAATGATCACATTAACGTGGACAATTTTCAACTAGGAGGAAGTTTATTTCTGATCTACGTCTTTTTAAAGTCTTTCAGATTCATTCTACGAGTTCAATATAATTATTAAGTTTAGCTACATCAAACAATTTACAGTTCACCTGAAGTTAAAATTGCATTCAATTAATGAATAACAAGTTCAAGTATTTAAATATATGAACAAGCTAAAGAAAGAACAATTGCACACATTTGACTAATAATAATTTAAAGTATTTACATATATTTCCAAATTCATAAATCCCCAAATCCCTAAATTAATACCCAAAAAAATCCCCCAAACCAAGAAACCATCATTCTCATATTTCACCCTCCAAAATCCAGCTCCTATTAAAAGAAGCCTACTCGACGCAAAAGAAGACTATTACACCCTGTACACGTATGTGGCTCAAAATCGATGCAGTCGACGCGTCAGACGAATTAGCCGCGTTTCGACGGAATTGCCGTTTAATTGTACGTCCAAGCACGTGTAAAAGGCAATCAGAATCGCGTCAACGGGCCCTGTAATTATTCGTTTATTCGTTTCACATTTTTCTGTTCGCAGCTACCGTGACGCGCTTGATTACCGAAGCGAGCAAGTTATTAAGAGGCGCGGACAAAGGCCGTTTCTCGCGAATCAAATCGGATCGAATCGAACGCTCGAACGCCGAGAATGATTGCGTGTTAAATAGACGAAAAAGCTAGGGTAATAGAATTCAGAAAATTGGAATATCCATTGAATTCGAATTCCGAAGGTGGTATCTAATCGATGAATCACTGGGCTTTCGTTTTTGCTGCGATGAACGTTTGATGTATGACTGCAACTTTGAACTCTGCGATTTTTCAAAAAATTAATACTGCACTTGTCTTTTAAATTCTTTTAGTTGTTCATTTATTTAAATACTTAATATTGTTATTAATTCATTAAATGCAATTGTTCTTTAGCATGTTGAAATTTGGGAATTCAGAAATTTGAGAATTTGAAAATTTGGGAATTCGGGGCTTTAGGAATTCGGAATTTTGGGAATTTGGAAATTTGGGAATTCGGAAATTTGAGAATTTGAAAATTTGGGAATTCGGAGCTTTAGGAATTCGGAATTTTGGGAATTTGGAAATTTGGGAATTCGGAAATTTGGGGATTCGGAAATTTGAGAATTTGGAAATTTGGGAATTCGGAAATTTGGGGATTCGGAAATTTGTGAATTTGGAAATTTGGGAATTCAGAATTTTGAGAATTTGAAAATTTGGGAATTCGGGGCTTTAGGAATTCGGAATTTTGGGAATTTGGAAATTTGGGAATTCGGAAATTTGGGGATTCAGAACTTTGAGAATTTGGAAATTTGGGAATTCGGAAATTTGGGGATTAAGAAATTCGAAATTTCAGGAATTCAGAAATTTGAAAATTCGTCAATTAACAAAATCCCCAAATTTTAAATTTACAAATCCACATTTTCTAAAATTTACAATCATTAAAAATTCCAAAAAGGAATTAAAAAAATTGAGAATATAAGTACTTGAAGACCTAAAGCTTCATGAATACAAAAAATCAGCCAACTCCAAGAACTCCTAAATTTTATTTAGTGAAGCAATGTAATAATAGACAAAATCCCCAATACAGCAAAATCTCATATACCGTCTTTTCATTGCAAATTCTATTTCAGAAGCAGAGCATCGAATGTATAGAAACGATTAATGAAATCATTGCACCAATATTTGCCATCGTTTCGTTTTCTGGCTGGAACGGCGTTCGCCGTAAAGAAGCACAAAAGATTCGTCGCGTTATAAGCAACGTTTGAATACGGACGGCTGAATAAAAGCTGAACATTATTCATCGAACATAATAGAAAATTGTCATAAAGCACAGCGATTTCTACACGTTCTATCGTTATCATAATAACGATCAAATTCACCGGGACGCGATGGTACAAAGAACGATAGCTTTCGGTCGAGTCATCCTTGCCAATAGATTTCAATGTCTTCTTTTTCTTTTTCCTTTTTCTTATTTTCTTTGTGCTTGAAAATACAATTACCCGATGATGTGTTTAAATGGAGTAAACAAATTCTTTTCTAATCTTGACAATGTTTGAGTAATTAAATATTTATCGATAGACATATAATTCTTCTTAAATAATCTAATATATTTCTTCTTAAATAAATTATGAAAATATAATTACTCAATGATGTGTTTAAATAAAGTAAACAAATTGTTGTTTAATCTTGACAATATTCGAGTAATTAAATATTTATTATTAGGGATGCATTATATTTTTTCTTAAATATATTATAGGTTAGGTGATGCATATGAAACAATAAGATAATAAATCAACGTCTATTAGTTTTGATATTATCACAATTTATTTATACAAATTTCATTGTGGTCAGAAAGCACGTCAAATCAAATATTAATATTCTGTAACTATTTGCTGCATCAATACCTGTACGGTTACAGAATTTGAAATGGTCAGTGCAGCATCAGAAGCATAATTTTTACCAACAATCTTCTGTAAATATACCATGTTTCACCTAAAAGTCAATTTACTTAAAAATGTAATAGGATCAATACTGATTATATACAAATCTGTAAATGTCAGTAAAGAATTATTTTTAAGTGAACATATCGACACATGTCTGATAATCCAACATATCAGACTTAACCTTAATTTAAAATAGCCCAGAAAGGAACAATTTGTAGTTGAAAGAGGTCCGAGTAATTAGCATCGGTTGTCCGAAACTCCGAAATCAGCAATGCATTAGCAAATCAAAGCAAGAGAGAGGAGTAGAAACTGCAAGTAATCACTGAAACTGTCAACCCTCGTCTGCTTGCAGGGTGATCCAGGTGCTCCGCTGATGGAAGGCCAGACGCTGATTGGTGTTCTATCCTATGGATTAGGGTGTAAAACTATGATACATCCAGGCGTGTACACTCGTATCAGTAGTTACCTAGCGTGGATCTCGTCGAATACCGGTATCCTATACACGAAGCACCATATTGGCGAAAACTAGAATGTCAACATCGCCTTAGCCTAACACGCTATCTGAAAGCAACCCCCTCGAAACATGGCCGGAAGATGTTTTCTTTTCTGCTTCACCGAACATTCCTTGTAACTTTATCAATTTGCCTCGAAGAATTTTATGAGCATATGTTTCTTTGTGCCAACATATTGCCATACCCTTAGAATTCCATGGAACTGCCTTTGCCTTTTTCCTCAACAATATTGCGTTTCGAAAGTTGCAATTATAACTCCCGATCGTAAATTAAAGCTTCGATTATCGATTGTCCGACGAAGTAATTAGCGGTTTAATCGAACGCGTACCTTATTACGAACGACAATCGGTAAAATACCGAAACGAGAGGGTTGTCAATTAGCCCTTTGGCCTGCCTCGTTCATTAACCGGTTGATGGTATTTTTGCGCGTTAAATGCGCGAATAAATGCAAGATACTTTTGACGAGATACAGTCGGAACAATTACAGGACCACTTGTTACGTTCGTACATCAGGATCCGTGCTCGTTATCGATCTGCTTGCTTTGTCGCGTTTTAATGGACGGCTTTGGAAATTTTGCTACTTTGTGACGTTTATTTTATTTAATAATAATTTTGGATAATGATGCAAATTTTTTTAAATTTCTAAATTGAAGAATGAAGTCTCGTTCATGAAGGTTAGGAAACTGTTGAGAGCTAAGGAGTTGACAGTTGGATAATTAAATTTTTCGGTTACTATAAGACGGAACTAATTAAGAAAATGCGTATGTGTCTATTTTACATTGACCTACTATATTACTAACGGTGGAAACCAATCTCGAATCATTACAGCCAATCAGAGCCGTCTGCCATCTTCTCAGCTCCAAACAGTGCTTGATCATTATTAACTCAATAAGTATATATACACAAGTCTATCAATATTCTTATTGTAAATAAAAAAAGGAACACGAAATTACATTAATAATAAATCCTACGAAATGTGTGATTGTCATCTTAATATATGATAGGCATCTTAATAAAACTATACAATAATTCCTACCTCGTAATGCCCTTTAAATGAAACATTTCTCAATGAAAAGTTGCATAAGAAACAAAATAGCAACATCTCATTCGCAGTCATAAAAGTCTAACTGCAAGTGAAAATTCTAAAAGAACTCAACCAAAATTCTAAAAGAACTTAATCCTCAATCCTAAAATTTTCCCTTATTTGTATTATGTAGATTAATTTTGCTGTCTAAGTACTTTCTGAATTGACAATGAAGTTGAAAATTCAGGTGATTAACGAGAAGTTCAATTAGAATTCCGACTTACAGCACCAGTGTAAATGTACGATGTGTAAACTGTTTGTTCGAAACGTTTCAGAGTTCAGTGAAATAACGTGTCAAGATAAATAGCAAAGATTCAGAGTCCTGTTTTCTCAGTGATCCAACTTCGAAGGGCAGTCACGCGCGTGTAAACACCTGGATAGCTCGGTCTTGCACATCCGAAACCCCACGACACTATTCCGATCAGTTTATCATACTGCACCAAAGGTCCTCCGCTGTCTCCCTGTGAACGAAAATCATTTGTTATTTCACGGTTAATCCATATCAAGAAACATAGGCACGTAATTCAAACATTCTTCAAGCTGTTACGAAAGTTACGAAAGTACTTTTGCCCTTCGTAAGGAAAAGATTATTAAATACTGAAATGTTTTAACAGGATCAGAATGAGCGGATGTTTCAAAAACAGGGAATACGAATATACTCATAGCGCGAGTTAAACGTCTATCTTGAGAGCGGATGGATATACGTTTCTCCAATTTTAAAATATTTAACGTTTGCCAAGCAACGGGAAACGTTAACTCTACTTGTATTAACTTCCATTCGTTGCTCAGCTCAAGCACGCACTGAAGTTTCTCCGGTCTATTCAAAGATACACATACCTTTCCACGTTTCACTGAAAACTTGAACGGTTCGGAGACTGTATCTTAGTACAGGTATTATATATGTACTACGAGTACCATAATGGCGGACATAAAAACAAAGAAGGGTAAAGGTAAAGCTTAGAAATTGTATATCTGCATGTTGAAACATTTTTAATTACACTTCGCTTCCACTATTCGTTTGAGGGACTGTAATATTCATTGCTGTATGAAACACTGTAATATTTATGGTTTCGAGCTTAATTTCCGATGGAATCAATTTTGAAAACGAAATGGATATTTCTTCAATTATTTATGGGAGGTTCGTGGCAGATAGTAAATTGTGATTGCAAGATTCAATTAGCAAGGCAAGACAAGGTTTAAGGGTAGTTAGTGGCGATATAACATGAGATTTACAACATATGGCAATATAACGCGAGAGGATATAAGGCTTAATAATTCGATGCGTAGTAACTCCACGTGACCAAATAGTTCGTGTCGGTACAACGCGTGGGGAAAATTACAAATGGCGATATAACGCGAGGGAATATAACACGCAGCAATACCAATAAATAGTAATTTAACGCGTAGAGATATAATGTGTAGTAATACCAACGCGTTGTAATTCTACGCGTGGCGATATAACACGAGGCGATATAACGTGAGGGAATATAACGCGTAACAATACCAATAAGTAGTAGTTTAACGCGTAGAGATATAACGCGTAGTAATACCAACGCGTTGTAATTCTACGCGTGGCGATATAACGTGAGGGAATATAACGCGCAACAATACCAATAAGTAGTAGTTTAACGCGTAGAGATATGACGCGTAGTAATACCAACGCGTTGTAATTCTACGCGTGGTGCTATAACACGAGGCGATATAACGCGAGGGAATATAACGCGTAACAATACCAATAAGTAGTAGTTTAACGCGTAGAGATATAACGCGTAGTAATGCTAACACGTAGTAATTCTACGCATGGCGATATAACGCGTGGCAATATAACGCGTAGCGATATAACGCGTGGCAATATAACGCGTGGCGATATAGCGTGTAGCAGTACCAACACGTAGCAATTTAACGCGTAGCGATGCGACGCGCAGAAATTCTACGCGTAGCAATATAACTCGTGGGATATAACACGTGGTAATAACACACATGGTAATCTCACACGTAACACTACAAAGCGTAATAATTTTACTCGTAACGCTATAACATACCATGGCATCCGAGCAACATACTGCAATATAACGAGAGGTACTGCAATAAAAATCGTACAAAATAACCCGAGAACCATCTACCAGAACTTTCGACAGCAGTTTTATGAGAAAAACAATATGACTCAGGCAAAAATACAAAAAGAAGGTGCAAAGTTGAATTTAATGACGCGATTAAAAAATGATTAACGACACGGTCGACTCGTCGCAGTAACAATTAGTGAAAGTGATTTACCTGACACGCATCCTTGCCTCCGAGGTTTACGTAACCGGCGCAAATCATTCTCGGCGTGATCGGTCGGGTCACGTATAACTCTGAGCATTCTACGTTAGAAACTAACGGCACCTCGACTTTACGTAACTGATTGGCCAACGACCCGTGACTTCTCAAAACTCCCCAACCAGTAACCACCGCCTTGCTGCCGGCGATATAATGATCGGCTATCGGTGCTAGTAGAATCGGTCTCACCCGTGAACTGTACACCAGCGGCTTTTCCAACTGAAATTGTAATTGGTTTCAACGGTTCCGACTGGCCAGCTTGTGCATTGCGGAATTGATTGTGAAACGATAATTGAATTGTTCGGCTTTGTCCCACGGGGAAACCCGTGCCCCGTGGACAAATAAACTCGATGTCGATTGATGTTGAGTTTGCCTCGAATCGATTTGAATTTTCTTTGAGAACGCTCGCTGATCTGTTCTTTGCTTTCGTTACTGTTTCACAAGTATTTTGATTTATATGTGCTATGGTAGACGCTTATGGTACTTGGACAAGTCTGTAATTACGGTAGATGTTCATGGGTACTCGGACAAGTTTGTAATTAACAGTTTCATTCAAGTATACTTGTGTGTGTTACGTTGAAATTTACGTTATTGAATTCGTAGATCTCCGTTTGCTGGACCTCTATAGCTGTAGATTTGTATAAACTCAGATTCCTGAAGTCCTAGATTCTTGTAAGTTCCAATTTCTGTAGTGTTAGTTACTCTGCAGATCTCTACATCTCGAGATCCCACATTCTCACAATATAATTTTAGATTTACATGTATCTAGTGCTGTATATACCCCTAGTACCATATACCCCTAGTTCAATATACCCCTAGTTCCATACACCCCTAGTTCCATATAACCCCAATTCCATACACCCCCACTTCCCTATACCCCTATTTACCTGTACCCCTAGTTCCCTAATACCCCTAGTTCAATATACCCCTAATTCCATATACCCCTAGTTCCATATACCCCTAGTTCCATATACCCCTAGTTCCATACACTCATAGTTCCATATACCCTTAGTTCGATAGACCCCTAGTTCCATATACCCCTAGTACCATATACCCCTAGTTCAATATACCCCTAATTCCATATAACCCTAGTTCCATATACCCCCAATTCTATACACCCCCACTTCCCTATACCCCTAATTCCCTATACCCCTAGTTCAATATACCCCTAGTTCCATATACCCCTAGTTCCATATACCCCTAGTTCCATATACCCCTAGTTCCATATACTCCTAGTTCCATACACTCTTAGTTCCATATACCCCTAATTCGATAGACCCCTAGTTCCATATACCCCTAGTACCATATACCTCTAGTTGAATGTACCCTAGTTCCATATACCCCCAATTCTCTACACCCCCACTTCCCTATACCCCTATTTCCCTGTACCCCTAGTTCCCTATACCCCTAGTTCCCTACACCTCTATTTCCCTATACCCCTAGTTTCCAACACCCCCAGCATCCTACATACCCAGTACCCATAATGAACTCCCATGCGTTACACTCGAGCCTCCCTCAAAGAAATTTCAAAATGGCGTGAATCAATAACAAGCTCATACGCAATCATACAGTTAAGAACACTTACTCGAATCAAAGCAATGTCATAATCTGCGCTTCTTCTTGTGTAGTACTCATGACTAATGACATCTCTGGCGACGACGACGATTCCATCCTCGCGGATGTCCGAAGTGCCGGCCTTTATCGAAAACAACCGAACGATGGGACTGAAACGCAGCGAATGAAGGAGCACTCGTTAATGGACGCGTACACGTGCGTGCAATTAGGCTAATAACGCTTCATAACGAAGATAAAAGGTGAGAGATACCTTCGGACGCAATGGGCGGCTGTGATGATCCACTCCTCGCTAATAATCGCACCACCGCATACGTGACGATTGTTGAATCGAACGGATACCTGTGAATTTAATGATTATTTTGCGGGGAACTGATCCTTGGGAAATTTGTGTTATGAGAGGATTTGTAGGAGGATTATTTTTCTGTGGTGATCTGTGAGATCGAGAATTTAATTCTTATTTTATTTTTGTGGTGTGCTGAAGATATAACTATTTATGGGATTACTTTTCTGGTCATCTTGCTTGTGGTTAGTGGAAGCCTTAAGGAAAAGCTTCTTAATAAAATATCAAACAAATCTTAGAATCATCAAGTATGATATAAATATACTGCATGAAACTTAAATATTTGTTGAGATTAATGTACAGTAAAATTTATAAAATTTATATTTTGTAAGTTCAGAGTTTAACACGAAGAACAGTTTATAGAAGACAACAGTCGATTTTGAAATATGGAGTATAATAAAAATACTGTGTATAAATAAATGTCACTAATTTGTATCTGTATCGTGTAGAACAAAAATTTCGTTAAAATTGAAATATAATATTTGAACGAATGATATGACATTTTCAACGTTGCTACTCGAACACACCGGTATCGGTTTAAGAGAAAATTGGGGATTGTATATCGATGGCTCGTTTCGGAATACGAAATATTTCTGCTCGAGAGATTTGTACCAATTAATCTTCACCAGTTGCTCCAACTGGTTTAGAATACTTACCTGATACGGGTGTTCATCGATGCTCACTGGCTGGCCTCCAACAATACGGCCCTCATCAACTGGAAAAATCAATAATTGAATTTGTATTTCCACTTGCATGGCCGTTGGAAAACTACTAATTAAAGTGTAACGTTGCTCGATGAACGTCGACGGGATTTAACGATCTTCCTTAAATCAGCAACGATCGAACGAACACAGAAGAGACCGGTTGTTGAATTTCTCTTTAATGAATCGAAAATTGAGGGAACAATTGAAACGTGACGGACGAATAATTTCGTATTAAACGATTGAAATAAAATAACACCGTTAAGCTAATGTGCCCATTAATGGATAGCGATAATAACGACCTGTTATTAAAATCTGGCTTTCATTAAAATGTAATATCCGTTATTAACACGTTGACTTCCGCGAGGATTATCCGTATTTAATACAATTCGGTAATTACAGAAAAACGAGTATTAAGCTTTTAATTACGATAACTATTGATACTACAAATTTATCACAAATTGCGAATGTACATAAAATTTCAATTTAGGTGAATAATCTTGAACATTACTGAAGTTAACTACAATTATTTAATAATAAGTAGTAAAAATTAATAGAATATTTTGCTCGTTAAGATCAATGTAAAGGTCTGAATTACCGTGCGTGGTGAAAAGGCCAGGTGTAAGTACGTACGTTGGAATAAAAAAAACTGCGACAATGTGAACGGAACGAGTTGCAACACCAAGAACAGTAAGCACGTATACATGGCGGGAAGTTGGCGAAAGGACTAGCTGTTCGCCACGAGGCTCGCCCTTCTTTTATTTCGATATTCGGGTTAATTGTCGTTCGTATCAATTTAGCCGAACACGAGAAAAATTTCCGATCCACGAAAGTCTCGAGACTGTCGACCCAGATTCCGCGGGGATTACGTAAAAAGGAGCAAGACTAAAATATAATTTCAACACCGGCAGCTCGCGATAACATCGTACCTTCGGTGCGGACCAATTAAGTTGAATTTTTTTTTAACCGTTGTCCCTGCGACTGTTGTAACGAGCACGAACTCGTGCCTGCTTGAAGAACGAGATGGAAAGAGACGGAAAAAATGAACACGGTTTCGGGATCGTTTGTACCAAATGTCGGATCGAGAACAGCATTGTACGAAACGTTAACGAACGATTGAAAGTTTTTCCAAGGGATCTTGCAAATTAGCACGTGCAAGTGTAATTAGCGACGAGTCTTCTTTTTGCGATGTACCACCATCAACGGCAAGCTAAACGGGCTGTTTGCCCCGGGCACCGTTTAGACACACCACTAAAACTTTCGTGAGTTTCACGCGAGGATGCAATTGTAAATTTACAAATTTTTATCGATTCTCAAACATGGAATTTTAGGAGTTTTCAAATATAAATTTCACAAATTTTTAATTTCGATTTGACATATCTTATTTGTGAATATTCTTCACACCACTAAATTGATAAAGAGGACGTAATTAAACTAAATTACATTAAGTTATATTGTATTAACTTATAATTTGTAGATTAATATAAAAAAGTGAAATATACATGGAGATATGAACCGCTCTTCATTGAGTTTACGTTTTTAGAATGTTTTTATTAGGGGTAGTTTTTAATACTGAACACTTTTTGACACATTTTAATAAAAATTTACATTCATCTCCCAAAAATAAAAATGTTATTTTGCACCTCAATCCTACAAATCAAAACGACATATAAAACACATTACTACATTCGTACACAAACGTTGACATCATAAAAAACATATTAATGTACCCATCATACACATGTCAAAATTCCATATGAAACTCACTAGTACATTAAAACACTTAAAGACACTGATTCGTCGAAACTATAGAATATTAAGCTATAATTATTAAAAATTTCAAGTTGTAGAAAACATTCTTCAAAGCACATATGTACACATATGTCAATGAGACGTTAATACATACGTATAAATGCTACAAAGAAAATATCGTTATATCTTATATTATTCCAGGAAATTAATTGCGCACCACTGATAAGATAAATACATTAAAAACCAAGAATTAAAAGTATCGATACGCGATCGTTCATCGATGCGATCGCCTCGACGATCGCAACAAGACTGGGAATGACCGCGAAAGTTGAAGCTTAAGTAACAGAAAATTCGACCGCGCTATTATTTATAATATTTAGAAGAAACTACAAGTTTATTTAAAAATTCCAATATTATATTCTCTGTATTTTGTACAAGTTCCATTATTCGTTTCTTAAAATATCATAGTTTATTGCTATAATTTATTTACTGATAATTTTCACATTTGAATGTTAGCAAAATTTTGTATTCATCACAGTTTCATGAAATAATTTTCTGTATTAGTTGATGAATTTTAGAATCGAATATACTGTTAAACTATTTATTTTTCATACTTTTTTATTGAAACATAATATTGCTATAGTCATGTCATTATTATTAATTGTTGTACTCATTAGATTCGCTATTTGTGACTTTATAAAATTGCAAATTGTCTATTTTTGATCACAGACATATGAACGTCTTAATATAAGAGCCATACATGTATCGTTTGTTATCGATTTATTAAATCAATTACCAATACTCTCCGCCATTATTAGACGATTAGTGTTGTTTTAAGAACATTAACATGCTCGAGTTAATGCGAGTTACAGTGGCATGTCACGTCTGTCCCGATTCTTATCAAGGCAAAAGAGCCAGGTAAACTCTTCGTTGAAATCGTTGCTGATTCTCATTACGAGACGAGAAGACGCCGATCAACGGCGTCACGTACAATGTCGACGCTCGTTTCAGCAGCCCTTTACGAGTCAGCCACCTGTGCAAAGCTGCAAAACCGTCTACGCTATGGAGCACCAACTAGAATACCCGAGCTATCGACTCAGCTGTAAAATTAATAATTCCCTGTAACAAAGAGAAGGTGAGAACGAGGAAACGAGAAGCTTAGCTTCTGATACGTGCATACAAGCTGTTTGCCTTATCGTTTACATATTTCGCGGTGAGATCGATCTTCTTTTCGTCGTATTGTCAAATAGTTTCTTTTTAACAACCCTTCTTTCTATACTATTCTTTCTGTACTAGTTTCTTTCTATACTAATATCGTTTTTCTGTAGTATATCATGTCATAGTATAGTATCATATCATAGTGATCATTTTGTTTAATATGTGAGTAGTGTTGGTTCGCCATCTTGACTTTATTGCGGTCAGACATTTTACCAGCGCACAGTTTCGTTATTAGAAACGTTTACGTATTTAATTGTATAGAAATAATACCTGAGTGGGTTATAATAATTAGCAGACATATTTTTTTAATATCAGTCAAATTGTTTTAATTGCATGAAACATCAGGAATTTCTACAGAAATTTATTACAAGTATTTGTTACAATGATAACACCGTAATGTTAACATCATAACTGTATAAAAAGTGGAAGGATTAATCTAACATTTTACATCTAGCAACCTAATGTTTTACATCTGTTTCATTGTATTTTGTATCCAACTATTTAAAGCGGATACTCGAGTGTACACTCCATAAAATGCACGATTTATGCAGCCATCGCCCCAGGACACGATGCCGATTTGAACGCCTTTGAACACGAGTGGTCCTCCGGAGTCACCCTGTGTCACATGCAGATACAATAAAAATTAATGTTCTAAAAGAACAATATCAGTATCTCAGAAATATAAATATTATAGACATTCCACAGCTCTGTTCTCGTTTCTTATTTTACTAAATTAAATATCTACTGCTGAACATTATCAAGATTTCTAAATGATTTGAACCATATTTAGCAGGATTCGATATCACAGATATCGCAGTTCTGAGAACGCTTTGATATCAATGCTTATCCTTGCTGATTACGCAATTATGTACCCGTGTCCAAATTTCAGATCACTGATCTTCAGTTATTTACAATGTACCAATTAATCTCTAGATCCGTATTATCTGTACACTTAAGTCTCAACAATGAATTATCTAAAACGAGGAAAGAAGATAAACTGATTAATGTAGCAAATAGTACCACTTGCAAGTCACGTATTAATGTTATCAATGTAAGAAGACAAAAATTGCAAGTTTTAAAATATACGATCTGGAGTATCGACCATATTTCAAACCTTTTACCTTCTGAAAATTTACAAAGAACAAAATTACTATTTTATTAGTCTGAGGAAACTAGAGTTGCAAAACATAAATTTCAAAGTACAGTTTTACTTACTAAGTACCGTGTGTCGCTGACGTTCTGGACGGATTTTGCATATTTATGGGACATCATACTACTAGCAGAAAGTTATCAAAGTACAAAATTTCTAAGTCTCTATTTTATTAATCTGAGGAAACCAGAAGTGGAAATCTTAAGTTTTGTAGTAACTGTGGGTCGACAACTTTGTGTATTCTATTCGTAAGAGAGCAGATAGTTGACGGAGGGTAAAATTACTGAATATCTATTTTAATTAATTAATTTGAAAATATTGCATTAATTTAAAGAAACCAGCAAATCGTAAATTTCACAGTGGAGAGCCTAAGTCTTACATGTCGCTGACTCTTCGGATCAGTGGTACCTCTAGACCCGCAGTAGAAACAGTGAAATTTGAAAAATTTCCAAATCCCTAATTCATTAACTCGAGGGACGGAAAGTAAAAAATCCTAAAGCTCAGAGCCTAACCTAAGTTCTATTCTAACCCGAGTTCTACAAATTATCCCCAAATCTTTGGACAAACCCGTCATCCCATTAACCCTCAACACATCCACAAAAATCTACCTATGACTAAAAATTGCCCAATCTAAAAAAACCTCCAAAAAATTTTACCTGACACACATTCCTGACGACATTCAAATTACTAGCGCAGATCATTCTCTCCGTCACTTGCAACTTGTACTCCGCAAACTTCTTCTTGCACACGTTCCAATTGATCGTGGGCACCGTGGCAACTTGCAGAATGGCCGCAGTGGGTCCATTGGCCTGCGAGTAACAGCATATTATTCGACTACCCAGACGATTTCTGGCTGTAATCTCTGGCGAGCGTGCATCGTTCGAGACAGTACAAACGCGAGGCTTGTTTACCGTGACCGACGAACATTGTCGACCGATCAACAAACGAACCTTGATGTTTGCGCGAGTTCGCAGTAGGTAATCAGACTCGGCGTATGTCACCGTTGACCGAGGCCATCGAGCCACCATCGTCAAACGCGAAGTTTACCTATGCAACAGCTGTCAAAACGATGCACACGGTCACGATTGACAAAAACTTACCGCTTGCCGACCCCATCCTGTTACCACCGCGTTACTTCCGTCCGGCACGTTCGCCGATGCATCCGCCAGTTTAATCGGTTTCACGTCCTTCACGGGGGTTGGGAGCTGTACACACGCGTTACCGTCAACTTATTTACTCGAGTGCTGGGTTATTAAATTGTTTCTGTTGTTTCTAGGAAGATGTTAACACGTTAACACTAAAACTACCAAACCGGTCAAATGACCGCTTCACAAGTTTCTCATTATAAAGTACACATTTTGTTAAAGTACATTCCTTGAAATCAGCATTGATTTTCATCAAGATAAAGAATAAATGTGTGCACTAATTAATGTTTCGTCGTTTGTTTATTTATTTTTTAACTTCATTTTTAATTTCAAATTAAGTACACATTGTATGCCGGTAGGTTTAGTGTTAACTGTGACAGTCAAGAACAGTCAATGACAATTAGTTGATGATGTAATTTTTAGGTCGCATCACTGACTGGCAGATTGAAAGAATTTTTCTATTAGTAAGTTTTGAATAATTAGGGGAGACGTATATAGAAAGTACTTAAATATTACTTGCTATCCAACAAAATTTTAATGGATACTATTACAATGGTATTATTATTGGTTACAATAGTGTGGGTGCACCAAATGGTCTTGTGCAGGTTAACAAGATTTATAAATTTTGTCAAGAACAGCTCAAGTTTGACTCTTAATTTAATTTAAGATGTCAGGAGAATGTATAACATAATAAGGATAATTAGGATAATTCAAGTCAGACATATTGGAATAGGATGGTTAATATACATATTGATATTGAAATATTATATACAAGATATTATATAGATATTGAGGTATTATATTATGGAGTATAATAATTATGAACGATAAAGTGTAGGAATCTCAAAAATGTCTCACTGCACTGTTTGATAAACTTTCGATATGTGGCTGTCAATTAAATAAGTGCTTTATAGTCTCCATTCTACTTAACTCGTTAACAATAGCAAGGAAATTAAGTGACCATAATCTATAGCATACATACCTTTATTAATGCAATGTCATAATCCGCAGAGTTATCCCTGTACAGATTATGCCACATGATCTTGACATTGCTAATCAATACACCATCTTTCTGAGTGTAGCTACTCTTCATGCGTATCCTGATGTCCTTGAAGAACTCGCTGCAAGATAATTGCAATCAACCTTGAATTTCCACTCCTTACTCAATAAATCTTAATTATTATGTCGCTTGTGTAAAATTTAATCACTCACCCGTAGACACAATGCGCCGCTGTCAACACAAACTGATCGCTGATCAAAGAACCACCACATATATGACTATTTCGTGCTTGCACGGATACCTATTGTACACAAAAATTATTTGTAATTTACAGTATTTATTTCACTATTACACTGAAATTTTTATTTCACTACTGCACTGAAACTTTTGAGAATTTCTTTAAATTGACTGTGACAGTCAAGAACAGTCAATGACAATTAGTTGATGATGTAATTTTTAGGTCGCATCACTGACTGGCAGATTGAAAGAATTTTTCTATTAGTAAGTTTTGAATAATTAGGGGAGACGTATATAGAAAGTACTTAAATATTACTTGCTATCCAACAAAATTTTAATGGATACTATTACAATGGTATTATTATTGGTTACAATAGTGTGGGTGCACCAAATGGTCTTGTGCAGGTTAACAAGATTTATAAATTTTGTCAAGAACAGCTCAAGTTTGACTCTTAATTTAATTTAAGATGTCAGGAGAATGTATAACATAATAAGGATAATTAGGATAATTCAAGTCAGACATATTGGAATAGGATGGTTAATATACATATTGATATTGAAATATTATATACAAGATATTATATAGATATTGAGGTATTATATTATGGAGTATAATAATTATGAACGATAAAGTGTAGGAATCTCAAAAATGTCTCACTGCACTGTTTGATAAACTTTCGATATGTGGCTGTCAATTAAATAAGTGCTTTATAGTCTCCATTCTACTTAACTCGTTAACAATAGCAAGGAAATTAAGTGACCATAATCTATAGCATACATACCTTTATTAATGCAATGTCATAATCCGCAGAGTTATCCCTGTACAGATTATGCCACATGATCTTGACATTGCTAATCAATACACCATCTTTCTGAGTGTAGCTACTCTTCATGCGTATCCTGATGTCCTTGAAGAACTCGCTGCAAGATAATTGCAATCAACCTTGAATTTCCACTCCTTACTCAATAAATCTTAATTATTATGTCGCTTGTGTAAAATTTAATCACTCACCCGTAGACACAATGCGCCGCTGTCAACACAAACTGATCGCTGATCAAAGAACCACCACATATATGACTATTTCGTGCTTGCACGGATACCTATTGTACACAAAAATTATTTGTAATTTACAGTATTTATTTCACTATTACACTGAAATTTTTATTTCACTACTGCACTGAAACTTTTGAGAATTTCTTTAAATTGAAATTTTGCTAAGTTGAAACGATTCTCAGAACTTTTAGCATGACCATACCTTTGCCTACATTTCTCACAACTTTCAGCGTGACCATATCTCGACCTACATTTTTCACAACTTTCAGCGTAACTATATCATTCCCTACATTTCTCACAACTTTCACCACGACCATAATTTTCAACCTTCTTCAAATAATTATGAATAAAGACTTACTTGATAAGGATATTTATCAATGGAGGTGTTCTGTCCTCCAATTATCCTCGGTTGCAAACTGTACACGCACGAGCTCGCAGAGAACAAGAGCAACAGCAAAAATCCCCGCATGTTTCAAGGTGTAGTATCTGAGACTCACTATCTGCGTCCTTTTAAATCCGGAACGGCTATCCTGACCATCGAGAACGTTGATAAGATCGCAGATTTCATATCAATGGTGAAATACATTGATTGCGGTTCTTCAATTGATTCAGTCCAACTTCCGACCAGACTATTTGTGTCTGTTGTAATTTGTTTATTAGTTAGCTTTTGCTGAATGAAAATTTTGTTAGAAAGCAAAATCTTGTTGTTCTGATAAATTTTTTTGATAACTTTGTTGTTGAAATTTGTTTGGACTCATGGTTATTGCAAAGGATATCGATTTGGAAATTGGGAATTTTGGATGACAATTTTCCAGATAATTTTCTAGGTTTCAGTGGGTATCGTACGGAGAGGGTTAATAATTACTTGAAATTGAAAATTTAAGTTTGTATGAGTTAATGATAGAAGAAAGTCAAGACTCGTCTATGTAAACGCATTCTGGAGATGGGAGATAATACAGTATATCTTCGTCGTTTATTTGATTCTCGGAATGATAACATCACTTGAATTAAATTGAAAATACGTGTTCTTTACGAAAATAATGATGTTGGGATATTGGGAAACATAAGATAGCCTGGAGGAAGAGGGAGGCCTCATATTGAGTCCCTATCCCACGGGATAGTGTCCTCTGCTATATCTTGGGAACAATTAGATTTCGGCAACTTGCAAGGTTTCTAATTTTCGATGACTCAATTTCGCAAATTTGTTCCACATTTCTAAATTATTGAGATTCTAAATTTTTTAATTTTTGAGTTGTTAAGTTCCTATATTTAAAAATTTCTAAATTGTCAAGTTTCTGTATTTCTAACTTTCTGTATTGTCAAGTTTCTACATCTTTTTATTTCTAAGTTGTCAAGTTTTTACATTTTGTAATTTTTAAGTTGTCAATCTTTTAAGTTTTTAAATTTTTGTATCGTCAATACAAAATTTTTTTAAATTCCTAAATTGTCAAGTTTTTATATTTTTGAATTTTTAAATTGTCAAGCTCCTAAGTTTTTTTAATTTCTATATTGTCAAGCTTTAAAATATTTTAATTTCTAAATCTTCAAAATCGAATCCAAATTTTCCATCTCCCAAATTCCAAGATTACATCTCTCCATTATCAGCAAAATAATTTCAGTATATATCAACAAAAAATTACGTCTGCCCAAATCTGATTACACAAAATCATACACGAAATTATATCAATCAATCGTAGATTACCTCAGAGGATTAAGGTCTCGCATCTCGTCCTGAAATATCGAAATGACTGTCGATCTGACAGGGCTTCGCAATCATTATCGTTTTTCTGTTCTCCTTTTTTTCTGAAGGAATAGCAACTCACGTGAAACGATGTTACTTCAGGAACTCTGGATAGACGTTTCATCCCTCTCGTGCCCCAACTTCCTGCCAGCTTAATTCGACGTAATCTCTTCGAAGTTTCCAACTCCTAATGCTTAGTTTCTACCGCGACGCACTACACCGAGAAGCTTAACACGTATACAGAACGCGCGAACATGCTCGCTGTTCCTTGAATGCTCAACCGTTTCTAAAATTTAACCCCATTATAATTTGTACAATTCGCGGAAATTTGTTCCACGGTTTTCTGTACTTTGTTATGAAGAAATGTATCGATCGTGTGATGTGGATGATAGGAGTTTGTGTGGATAAGTGAAATCACATAAGGGTGGGTTTTTTAAGAAATAATTTATTTGATAGCCTTTTTGTTGTATAAAAATTTTGGTTTGTAGTTGGTGGTTTTCTCATATTTCCCATTTTCCAAATGTCCCACTTCTCGAATTCCCCATTTCCAAAATTTCCCATTTCCCAAATTTCCCATTTCCCAAATTTCCCAAATTTCCCATCTCAAAAATTTCCAATCTCCCAAATTTCCCATTTCCCAAATTTCCCACTTCTCAAATTCCCCATTTTCTAAATTTCCCATCTCCCAAATTTCACGTCTCTCAAATTCCCATCTCTCAAATTTCCCATCTCCCAAATTTCCAATCTCTCAAATTTCCCATCTCCCAAATTTCCCATCTCCCAAATTTCCAATCTCCCAAATTTCCCATCTCCCAAATTCCCCACTTCCCAAATTTCCCATCTCCCAAATTTCCCATTTCCCTAATTTCCCATCTCCCAAATTTCCCATATCCTAAATTTCCTATCTCCCAAATTTCCCAATCTAGCAAATTTCACATCTCCCAAATTTCCCATATCCTAAATTTCCTATCTCCCAAATTTCCCAATTTCCCAATTTTCCCAACAAATATTTCTACGGTCGCCTTTCGATGATCATAAAAATATCTCGATAATTTTCGTAACGCGTCGGTATGCTTTGTTCGGTTGTTTCCAACGTGTCGGTATTCGTCAGAGCTTTGCCAACAAGCTGCGCGAAAATATTTCACGGAACGAACCGTAACATTGGAATTCCTGTAAAATGTTCATTCGCAACACGGCACGGACTCGAATCCGCCATAAATTTAGATAAACGTCGCTTCCCACACATCCGCTGTAATTTCAATAATCGCATCGCGCCGATACGTTCTCCGACGAGTAGCTCTTCGCTTTTTTATCAGCGATTGCGTGGCTGTCTCATGGGACGATTAAGCGTTTCAGCGATAAACAGAATTGCATTATTTATCTTTCCCAATGCTGTCGCACCGATGTGCATTTCTTGATGCTTGCGAAATGATCAACGATATCACGTAACGGTTGGTGTACTTACTGGCGTAACGGGATTTTTGTCTGCGTTGGGTCTGGACATTTTTGGGAGTGGATTTTTGCGATATTTGAGGATTTTGGGGTATTTGGACATTTTTGGATTTTGAGAAATTTTGGGGATTTAAGTATTGCAGAATTTCGAGGTAGTTGAGAACTGGAAAATTTGGAATTTGGGATTTGGGAAATTTGGAATTGGGGAAGTTTGGGAAATTTGGAATTGGGGAAGTTTGGGATTAGGGAAATTTGGGATTGAGGATATTTGGGATTAGGGAAATTTGAGATTTGGGATTTGGGAAATTTGGGATTTGGGAAATTTGGGATTTGGGAAATTTGGGATTTGGGAAATTTGGGATTTGGGAAATTTGGGATTTGGGAAATTTGGGATTTGGGAAATTTGGGATTTGGGAAATTTGGGATTTGGGAAATTTGGGATTTGGGAAATTTGGGATTTGGGAAATTTGGGATTTGAGAAATTTGGGATTTGGGAAATTTGGAATTTAGGAAATTTGGGATTTGTGAAATTTGGAATTTAGGAAATTTGGGATTTGAGAAATTTGGGATTAGGGGTTTGCGAAATTTGGGATTTGGGAAATTTGGGATTTGGGAAATTTGGGATTTGGGAAATTTGGGATTTGGAAAATTTGGAATTTAGGAAATTTGGGATTTGAGAAATTTGGAATTTAGGAAATTTGGGATTTGAGAAATTTGGAATTTAGGAAATTTGAAATTTGAGAAATTTGGGATTAGGGATTTGGGAAATTTGGTATGTGGAAAATTTAGAATTTGAGAAACTTAGGATTAGAGAAATTTGGAATTTGGAAAAATTGGAAATTGGGAGATTTGGAAATTAGGAAAATTGAAATTTGGGAAATTTAGAATTCGAAAAATTATGAAATAGGAAAATACCTATCCACATTCGTGTTTTGTGAGTCAACGATAATTACTAGGTTATTAGCATCTTGTCATTCCGGATACGTGCCGCCGATATTTTCTCAGATAAGCACTTTTCATAATCGACCCACGATAACGACTGATTAGACACGCTTTCGACGAGGATCAAATCTTCTTTGAATGTTGGATATTTTGTCTATGCATTCATCATCGACAAAGTAGTCTGATATCACTTACTGTAGGTATTAACAATGTCTGAAATAATAATAGATAACTCTTTAATTATCTTAGGTCATGTTTAGCAAATGACATGTCTTTTAATTGCATTTCAAAAAATCGATATTTTTGAGAAATATGTCAAAACTTGAAATATTTTTTCTTTTATAGTTTATTGTAACCATGGCGTGTTACAACTACAGAAAATATAGAAGAGTAGATTTTAATGATAGCTATTATAAAATCAATTTTGTTTGGTACTGTCCAAAGTTATGAAGCTTTAAAAATATACTGGTACATTTTGTGACAAAGTTTGAGATATTTCTGACTTTTACGCGGGATTTTACAGTGAGCACCGATACGTCGTAACGCAGGGGAATAATTCTGAACGTGTTTTTCTCGAAATGTATTTTTTTGCCACTGGCAAAAGAAAAATAAACAAAAAAGCTGACCGATCGATCGATCTGAAATTTCTATGTGTTATTTCATGTACCATTGGTTTCTACAGATAACAAATTTATGCTTACACATTGAAAATGTTATATTGTTGTCCTACAGAAACTTTCAAAAAAAAAGAAAATACCAAATATTTATACAACCTACGTTATTAAATTTTTATTTATTTAAGTAATTACCTGCTATATTTATTTGAACTTTCAATTCATACGATTTATTTCAATCGCAGTTCATAAATTGCCAATACCTCCGTCAAATGAATATTTAAATCACTAATTTTTAATAATAATTTCCAAATATTTAATACGTTCGAAATAATTACGTTTTCGAATATCCTACACGAAATGCAAAAAATTAGTTGTATAATAACGCATTTGTAAATAACAATTATCCATGGAATAATATCATTTATTAAAACAACGATGATATTCCGACAGAATATTAATTCGTAATAAATTCATGAATCAAACATTAATTGAAAATGTTAATCTCGATTTGTATTATGTACATACGATTTCCATTCGAGTTTCGTGTATTCGTTATCATTAATTTTAACTGATTTATTTTACATCTGAATGAAGTGAAAACTGAATGAAGTATACATCAATTGATTTATTTCAACAAATCCTCTACTGCTGCTTACAATGAGCATTAATTACTGCTTACCTCGTTAATACATTCATTGAATTGTTTCGGAGACCCGTATTTTTTTAATAGGAGACCGTCTACGGGAGTGAAGAAGCTATTAGGGGTGACAAAATTTATTTGAAGGAAAATTTTTTAGGAGGTTTTAGGGGATTGGTTGAAATGAATTTTGGGTTAGGTTCTAGGTAGAAGATGGAGTGGTAATTTTGTAATTGTGAATTTTTAGGTTTTTAGAGTATCAAGTTGAGGAAGTGGAAAATGCGGAAATTGGGAAATTAGGGAGATGGGAAATTTGAGAGATGGGAAATTTGGGTGATGGGAAATTTGAGAGATGGGAAATTTGAGAGATGGGAAATTTAGAAAATGGGAAATTTGAGAGATAGGAAATATGGGAGAGAGAAATTTGAGAGATGGGAAATTTGACAGATGGGAAATTCGAGAGATGGAAAATTTGAGAGATGGGAAATTTGGGCGATGGGAAATTTGAGAAATGGGACATTTGAGAGATGGGAAATTTGGGAGATGGGAAATTCGAGAGATGGGAAATTTGGGAGATGGAAAATTTGAGAGATGGGAAATTTGAGAGATTGGAAATTGGGGAGACGGAAAATTTGAGATATGGAAAATGTGAGAGATGGAAAATTTGAGAGATGGGAAATGTGGGCAATGGGAAATTTGGGAGAGGGGAAATTTAAGAGATGGAAAATTGGGGAGATTGGAAATTTGAGAAATTGGGAAATTGGGAAATTGGGAAACTGAAAAATTGGGAAACTGAAAAATTGGAAAATTGAGAAATTGATAAATTGAGAAATCAAGAAATTAAAACCTTGAAAATACAACAAATAGAAATATAAATACAACAATCCAGAATCCCAAGACCATAAAAGAAATAAACAAATTTATAAACACAGAAATCTGTACATTATCCCAACCCTCCAATTTACATCCACTTCTCCAAAGTAACGGAAAGCACAGATTATGATAGACACAGCAAAGCCACATACGTCGGCATTGAACAAAGTAAATTTGTCCGTTACACCGTTGATTTACCGATCATCATGAAATCGCTCGTAGCTAATTCATATTTTAATGCGTACTAGAGAGAAGCACCGAGACATTTCCAATTGGTCCATAATGTATGTTAATTTAATAATAAATATCGCGTTATTTGGCCACGTTGATGAGCTGAATGCGCTTCTCCTGTCGTTAACATACGACACAACATTTATCACGCGACACGTAATTAAAATTATTTTTTGGCACAACATCCTGCTACCGACTAATTAATTCGATGAATTTCGACAAAAAACTGCCCTTCAACCGAGAACAATGGATCCGCTGATGCGTTACGCATTTGCGACGACGTAGAGTTCATTAATTCGATATTTGCACGTGTCAATGGCCACGCAATGAACGATTAACGTTGCTCATCGAACAAGTTCGAAATCGATATTGAAAACCGTTCTCCGTCGAAATTCTAGTCACCAAAGATAAAAGCGCCGCTTGAACGTGTCTCGGAATAAACGCGGATCCCATCGAAGCATCAAATTTATGACCTATTGCAACACCAACGGGGAGACTACTGTTTTTTCTGCCGCTATCTAAATAACTTGAGCCGTTTCTTTGACCGTACGCGGAAACATTTTGCTCGTAATACCTCGGCCCTTAATGTCATAGCATTACCAGCATTAACACATTCCCGATAAACGGAAGTCAGAGGCAATAAATCGTTGTTTATGCTAAAAGTCGATCGCTTTATAAAGGACTCGCTGCACCTGCTGACATCAAACGGCCATCATGTTCTCGACTGTGTTGCTCATCTTCGCCTCTGCGGTCCTCGCGACCTCCGGACATGTTCCAGGTAAGGTTCATTTCCTGGTAAATTACCTACCAAGTATTAATTCAGGTAAATACTATAAAGAGATTGTTGGTCTACCAACTGTAGTCGAGGTATCAAGGCTACCATTCAATGAGTAACTCAATAAATACAATCTATTGTTCACTGGAGTCAACAAGTTTCATACACTATTTACTCAACAGTTAATTTGGGAGATGGGAAATTGGGAAATGGGAAATTTGGGATATGGGAAATTTGAGAGATGGGAAATTTGGGAGATGGGAAATTTTGGGAAATGGGAAATTGGGGTGATGGGAAATTTGGGAGATGGGAAATTTGAGAGATTGGACATTTGGGAGATGGGAAATTTGGGAGATGGAAAATTTGGGAGGTGGGAAATTTGAGAGATGGGAAATTTGAGAGATGGGAAATTTGAAAGATGAGAAATTTGAGAGATGGGAAATTTGAGAGATGGGAAATTTGGAAGGTGGGAAATTTGGGAGGTGGGAAATTTGACAGATGTGAAATTTGGAAGATAGGGAATTTGAGAGATGGGAAATTTAGGAGATTGGAAATTGGTGAGATGGAAAATTTAGGAGTTGGGAAATTTGGAAGATGGGAAATTTGAGAGATGGGAAATTTGGGCGATGGGAAATTTGGGAGATGGGAAATTTGAAATATTGGAAATTGGTGAGATGGAAAATTTGGTAGATGGGAAATTTGGGAGACTGGAAATTTGGGAAGCGGGGAATTTACTAGAATAAAATAATGTAAACTTCATCTATTGCTCCCAAGATTTCTTAAAACCTGATAACTTGATACAAACAGCCCTTAAATGTACACTCACATTTGTGCTAACCATCCAAATTATGAACAAATAACCCTTCGTCCACAAAAATAACCTTAACTAACCTCAAAAATAACCTTAACAATTAACCTTAATTAAACGAACAATTAAATGAACCATACACACGAATCGAACGTTTGATCAGGCAATTATCAGAAGAGGCTCATGTCAATGCAAAACCGGGATTCGCCAGGATCCAGGATCATCGGAGGAGCCGAAGCTTACATACAGCACTATCCATTTGCGGTTAGTACAATTCACGATACATCTTCACACTCGATTTGGCATTTAGAGAATCATTGCCTCCGGTTGCAGGTCTCGTTGCAGAACAATGGCACGTTTTTCGGACACGAAGTCGAGCACTTCTGCGGCGGTGGTATTATCGGTGAAAAGTGGATAATAACGTCGGCTCAGTGCGCTCTCAGGCAAGATTAATACCTCACATTTCTAATGATCGGTGTATAATGCGTGCTCTACTTTCTTTTTGTGCCGCGGTTTTACAGGATGTATGTGACGGGGTTCCATGTGAGGGCGGGATCGTCCAGGTATTATGAGAATGGGGAGATTTACAGGGTCAAAGGTGTCACGATACATCCGGCGTTCAATCAATATAATTACGACTTTGATGTTGGTCTTATCCAGGTAATTTTTTTGGAATGCAAGAATTTTTAAATTTCCAAGTTTTTACATTTTTAAATTTTTTAGTTGTCAAGTTTTTATATTTTTAAATGACTAAGTTGTCGAGTTTCTAAATTTTTAAATTTCTATGTTGTCAACTTCTACATTTTTAAATTTCTAAGTTCTCAAGGTTCTATATTTTCAAATTTCACATATTGATTATTCCTTTGATTATTAATCTTCAGTCAAGAATTGTTAGAAAAGTTTCCAAGAGACTTGACCATGTACAGTCTGTTATTTTTGCAAAGATGTTGGGATAGAAGTACAATATTATCAAACATACATTTCTAATAAAAGATTTCATTATTTTTAAATGCTGGGTCTAAGAAAGAATATTTATCGCATGTATTCAGCTGTTGGATAGCATAAAGTTCGACAACACAAAGCAATCAATTATGCTGCCTGAAACTCATTCGATGATCAAAGATGGCGCCCAGGTACAAGTTCTCGGTTGGGGTGCATCGAGGGTAAGAACAATCTGAAAATTGTTTGACTTGTTCAGCTTCGAAGTGTTCGAACCAGTTCGTTCAGTTGTTAGGTCCAGTGTCCGATGAATTATTATGCAGCACCATGCAGAAAATCAACAACGAGAACTGCCAGGAAGCTAGCGGAGGTGACATATTAACGAACAGGATGTTCTGCGCCATGTCCGATGACGTTGGACCCTGTGTAGGTGATTCTGGTTCGCCTCTCGTTTTCGAAAACAAATTATTCGGTAAGTTTTATTATTTAAACCAAATTATTCGATAAGTTTAACTCGAGTTTGAAAGTTATTCAATTTTAATAATTATTAAACTTCGTAATATTATATTATTTTATTGAAATGTGAATTTGTCCTAGACTGAACCAAACATGAAGTTTAATTAACGTTACCGAATAAACAATAGTGTTAGGTCACTAAATAGAACTGATTGATTATTAATTGAATATATTAAATATAATAACAACAATACCAACGAAATGTTTATGTCTTGCATTTAGAAATTATATTTTAAGGAAAGTAACATTAAAGAAAGTATATTTTAATAAAATTGATTCAATTCGCAGGAATAACATCGTGGAGCCGATCCTGCAGTTCGAAATATCCGACTGCTTTTACAGCCACATCCGAAGTAAAAGATTGGATCACAGAAGTAACAGGAATAGCATGATTCTATACGTACTTACACGCGGACGTAACGTGATTCAAGATACAACATGGTGACGTTGCAATATTTTCCGCGTTATAATGCAGCATCCTGTTGCATCTTTGCAAAGGTCTCAAAGCATTCTTGTTTCAGTAACAATGTATACGTACCTTCATATAGCTTCTGGGTTATGGAAATAACTAAATAATATCGAAAAATGTATCTTAGTATTAATGGAAAATATATAATTCCTCCACATGCATATTCATGAATGTATAAAAAACTGTAAAATTATACATATGTACTATAAATATATGTAAAAAATATATAACTAATAATTGTTACCACGTTGCAAAATTATTGTCAAGAGAGTCTCCCATAAATTCTCCCAAAAATTTTCCTTAATCGAAACCCACGGAAGTTTCCCGTTTTATCGTCGCTTAAAATATGGATCAAAAGTGACCCACACTTGACCCGATATCGACTTGAACAAAAGTTACATATACCATACGTTGAGACGAATATAACAGCAGTTGTACACGAGCGTAAAATGTACGAGATAAAATATCGGTGCAGTTGTAGCTTCTGTTGAAGGAAAACCGATAGAAACTCGTATAAGCTATAGAAGGGGTGCTTTCCAACATACCGTTGGAAAGACACAGACAGAAATGTTTAATTTCGACGCTCCTCGAGACGTCGCAGGCTGAGCTGATAGCTTTCGACTGGCCATTGCAATAATCCCATTAAACCGCAGACACGATCCAATAACTTTTCTGTCACCGGTTGCTAACACCATCGTCCATTCGGATATTATTTTTATTTCCTTGTGGCTACTGCTACATTTGCTCGGGGTGCGACAACACGCGAAACGATGAATTAAAACGGAATTATCATTTCTCTCTGACAACTTAATTACTTGTATGTACTAAACAGTCGATTGTAACGGGTTACATTTAATGAAATTTGGGATTCAGGGTTTTGGGTTTATGGTAGAAAAATTTTCAGATTTTAGATTTTTAGATTTTTAGATTTTTAGATTTTTAGATTTTTAGATTATGGAATATTCGAGTTGAAAATTTTCGTTGTCACAAATTCTCAACTTTATAAATTTCCTACACTACAAGTTCTCAAATGTACAAATATTCTATATTGCAAATTTCCAAACTTACAAGTCTTCAATGCTACAAGTTCTCAAACATGCAACTTTGCAATATTACAAGTTCTCAAATGTTCAAAACATCCATATCACAAATTCTCAAAACTGACCAAACGTTCAAGTACTCCACAAGAGAGTAATGCACTTCGAGTAATTAAAAGGAGTTATAACACGAAGCGTATCTCCGTCAGATCGTCGTGTGGATTAAACCGAAAATCACGGCAACGAGTCAATAAACTCGGTGACAGCATGGTAACCATTTCCAAGCTCGTTGGACTATTTCCTCGCGAAGTGCAGCGGACAAAGCAGCCATGGGGTCGAATGTGCCTCGGAGGCGCACAAAGATGCCAAAGATGAGAAACTCCGGTTGATATTGAATTAACTTTAATGCACCGGTAATGTCGTTGCGACTACTGCGTCAAAGTTATTACGTGCTAATGACGAAACGCGTATTACGTGCACGGTTATATGGCGGAAGGTATGCATGGAGAAGTCGTAGGCGGTTAGACATTCAAGCTCGTTTCGGTAAGAATCGCGGCGCAAGTACCCTCGCCAAAAGGCACATTATGCTGGAAAATGTTCTACCCGTTTGTCCGAAAGTTGACAATTGTCGGCGTGTATAATGACACGTGAACGGTGCCTGTTTAGACTGCTGGCAGACTTTCCGTTTATGGAACGCGGTTACGAGTCGTTAACCTTCTTCCCCTGGGGATAACTGTACTTACCTATCGCTTTGTGAACGTTTCCGGTGTGTGAAGGGGTTAGAGAGATATCAACACTTTTCCGTTTCTGGAAATTTAGTTTGGACGGAGACACTTTGGATCTAATTTTTAGGGGAAGTCGATGTGTACTTTTTCTTATTATTAAGCATAAATTTATAGATTTAGCAACTTTTAACAAATCTAATTTTTGTACTTTCAAAGTTTGGGATACTCGAATTCGAAAAATTCTGGATTTCTTATCCTTGCGCTATTTTGACGAGTCTGATTGGTGACGCACCCGTGATATACCTGACACACTCGTGACGCACCCGTGACGCACCTGTAATGTACCTGTGACGCACTCATGACGCACTTGTGACGCACTTCAACAGTGATGGATTTTACTAAAATTTTTGATACGTTAGAATTTGCAATTCACCTATAATTTGCATAGTCAACTGTAATGTTAAATTGACATAACATTTCAACTTTCTTTGTCTGTTTTAATACTGTAGCTATGATTAGTTCTGACTCACCTAACAAATGGAGGTTGTATCTATTCTAAAATGTTATCACACATCGTTTACTTCCTGTATTACTGCAATCACTCTCCCGTAAGTTCTGTCTAGTAATAAAGGTATTAAGCATTATCTAAGTAGTTTAGATAAGACAGATGCAAAAGTGGACTAACAAAATTGCAGATACGATATCAGTTGGAATCAATGAATTCCCTGGAAGTCGATAAGAGTACATTGTAAACATTTCAAGATATTGCTCAGGTATTTACGGCTGTTATTAAAAAGTTGGTCATGAGATAAATATCATTTCATATCATTAAATACTATTTTTTAAATTTTATGTATTTTAATATTAGTAGATATTGATGTCAATTTGTATGTACTATCACCTGTTCCGTCATTTTGTGATGAAATTTATTTTGTTTATAGTATTGATGGTGTATGCATACTGTGTATGTTACTTAGAATATTTATGTAGGAAAATATATTTAATAAAAAGACTTAAAGACTACCATATCAATAATTACTATATCAAGACAATATTTCTACTTCACTTTCAAAAAAACAAATGTTTGAAAACTGCAATATCCAAACTATGCAACCGAACAAATATTTTGAATTACATATCTGCAAACATTTTTTGTTCCCCGTTCAAACAGTTTTTATACCCACAATATTTGTTTCCGGTGCACGTTGCATCCTGCGATATCACACGACCAATAACACGTGAACTAGAGAAAAGTAAGTCGAGAGAGGATACAAATTCGCGACACAAAGGAGAGAACTAGACTTAATCGCGAGTTTACGATAGAGAAAAAGAAGTTTCACGGAACCAAAAATTTCTTCCTCGGTTAACCTCGAGGTAGGTTGATAATCACCGGCAGGAAGCAGGTTGCAGCTCCCGGTGAAAACATATCAGAATACGGTGTCGCAAGAAGCCACCGACATTGCGACGCTTATTGCGACAATTTGGCAGGGTCCTCGGCAATATTAGCGTTGCTACCAGCCTCATCCCGTTCAAACACATCCAACCGGCTCTTTTCAGTACGTTAGAAACTTAATAATATAAAACGAACGAAGAAGGTTCTTGCGCGGAAACACCAAGTTGCGAAGGGACGATCTTGTTGCGAACAAATAAAAGAACGTGCACCGGGAGATACACGCTTCAGATTGTATCAGTGTTTTCTCGAACTTGTCCGAGGTTCCGTGAACTCTTTAACGATTGTTTGCTCGTGCAGAGTGTGCGAAATAGATTCTCCAAGTACGCCTGTTTTATCGTTTCCGGGGCGATCGACTGACCGTGTGCTGCCTTTACCAACCGGAAATGAGAGATTGCACCTCGGTCTCTGAATATGTATACTCGGGTGTACATCGGTGCTTTGCAGCTAATGATGCAATCAACTCTTTTAAATTATTTTCAGATGCATTTGAATAAACGGGACTGTTATATCTTTTATTCTGTGCAATATTTTTATCAAGTCTTATTTGTAGCTGTATTTGAATTTGTTAAATCTTTTATTCTATGCAATATTTTTATCAAGTAATATTTGTAGCAGTATTTGAATGTGCTAAATCTTTGAATATGTGCATATGCATTTATCAAACGTTACTTCAAGCAATATTTAAATCTGTTAAATGCTTAATACTGTGCAATGTATAATATTCATCTAAAAATACTTGTAGCAGTATTTAAATTTATTAAATCTTTCAGTGTATGCAATATATTTATCTGACTTTATTTTAAGCAATATCTGAACCAATTAAATCTACTGTACAATAAATTCACCAAACATAACCTCTAACTGTATTTGAATCTGTTAAATCTTTAATACTGTGCAATGTATAATATTCATCTAACTTATAGTAGTATTTAAATTTGTTAAATCTTTAAGTAGGTACAAAATATGTATCTAATTTTACTTCAAGCACTTTCCTTAATCAATTAAATCTTTACATCTACGCAATGCTTTTAACAAACATAACCTCCAACTGTGTACTTAAATCTGTTACATCTTTAATTTTGTATATTACGTTCATCAAACATTAATTGTAACAGTACTTGTATCTGTTAAATCTTTAATTCTGTGTACAATATTCATTAAACGTTACTTGTAGCAATACTTGAAGTTGTTTAATCTCCGACCTTGTTAAATACATTTTATTAAAAATTACTTCCAATAAAATTGAATTTGTTGAATCTAAACTATAAATTGTCAGTAATTCCTTGTTACCTTCCATCTAATTGTTTTCGTCTTCTATTAAGAAAGTGGTATCGAAATATTAATTGCAAAGAGTCTAGGGAACGTAATCGAGGGTAGTAATGGCGAAAAGCGAGCAAGGAAGCGCAAATCGCGTTAAAGTCCTTAAAAAGTAGCGGTCGGACGTAATCTTAAATAATGCGGCCCATTCGTCAGATGTTAAATTTTAGAGTGGCGCGGGAACAAATGACCGGCTGGATGGAGTTGCAAATCAGGAATTTGTCACGGAGAACCGCTCTTAAACGAGTGTACCCGCTTTCAGAACTCGCGGGCATTTCGTCTGATAACGCTTTTAAATTTTCGTTAGCGGCCTGCTGCCTCTTCTAAACGACGTAAAGTAAGAAAAACGGTCACACGAAGCTGGAACACAGTAGACATCCTTTGGTCTATT